ACCTTGTAGGCTTATTTTCACCCACATACGTGTACATATATATATATATATATATACGAGAAACTGCAGTACATGTCGTTGAGGAATTAACACCGCTTAACTCCATCGATGAAGACGATGTTTCGTCATTAAACATAATTTCTTCCTCATTTAAAAAGTTACCAATAATAAAAAATTTTATATTTATAATTTAAGTTTTATTTATACTTATATTCTAAAAGTTAATTTTTAAATTATCTCGTGGTTGATGACTCTACAACCGGCAAGAATAATAAATGATGCCAGTTTTTGTAGACAAGAGTGTTTGGTGACAACTGTCCGCTAGCAGACGCAGCTTCTTTGCGGTAGAAGTGGTCGCGGATGCATTTACTTTTGTTTTTAATAATTCAACTGAAAAAAAAGTTAATATATTACACATATGCGTTTGCACACCCAAAAACTTGAAAATTTAAAAGCCAAATGTCTATACTGGCATTGACTTGCAAATAAAATAGCGGTACTTTCTCTTTCAATTGATACGAATTCGCCAATGACTCAAACAGAAGTTGGCAGAGTTACATATACACTCATGTCAAAAAATATGTAAAATTCAAATATACGAATTTTGCTGCAATAAGGCAGTGGCAGTGAGCTGGGGATTGGTGCCGCTACTATAACAACAAACAACAACAGCTGATGATTGGGGTAAGCAGTACTACCAACTGCCACTGTAGCAATGATGACTAGATACGAAACTCTTTATTCCGTGAGAGAGCTCAAAAATCCGCTTTTTTATAACATTTCTGAACATTGCCACTGTGATGGAAAAACGATTTATTTGGATTTGTAGGTATATTTTGGGTATTTTATTACAAACAACGACGTCTTTAATAGCAATTTCACTGAAAAATTTCATTGAGAAACAATTCAGTATTTAATTATATTAAGTTTTAGTAATAAAATTACAACTGGTGCTTTTTGCACATCAGATGTTGAATGTTCCCCGATCTGACACTGCTGCCAACATTAGAATGTGAGATGGGGGAACGCTCTCAGCTGCGATTTGAGTAAGTTTCGTATCTAGTCATCTTTGACTGTAGTATTGGGTTCTGCTGCATTGTACAGCAGAGTTTCTAAAAAACTGTTGATTTCGGAAACTGCCACTGTCACAGAGACTGCGCTGTTGTGTTTTGTTTTCGTCATCGAGTTCTGACATTCATACCGGTGGATCAATATGTCATCAAAATCCGCATCAAAGCGAAGTTGTTCAACATATAGTAGGCAAATGAAAAATAAAAATATCTCGACGATCTCGCTCATCCTTCTCGCCCTGCACGGTGCAGCAGAATGGACAATGACAACATCTGATGACAGCGTTAAGTGTTTTCAATAGAAAGGTAACACGCAAAGTATCGGCGAATACCGAAGCCGATGGACTGCTGTCCAGCATTGAAAATTTTGGATGCAGTAAAGCCGGTGGAATTAGAGAAAGAGGAAGACCCGCAATCCGTTTGACAGACAAGATAGAGAAGAATCTGGCTTTATCTGGTATTTCCAATTGACCCCAAACCGGGAAAAGATGAAATGATTGGCGCAATGTTTGCGGTAGTAAAGAAGAGAAGAACTGAAACTTGTCTCTTTAAGGAATTTCAGTGTATCATAACCTCATTTGCCATATCCGGATTTTTCACCTTCAAAGAGTTCGCTGGTAGGCTACTTAGGAGTGTCACCTTTTAAAGTTTGTGAGTAAGACGACAATCTCAGCAAATTTTGACTTTACATTCGCTTTTCTCTTTGCATATATGTCCTTTACTACGCTGATAAGCCTCTGAATTTTTAGCCTTTCGAAGTGATCACCTGGCGAGTCTGCAATAACCAAATGAGTCATTATCTCAATTTTGGAAATGCACATCAAGAGATTCATTGCGATTTTATTTGTTATTCTGGTTGCTCCATCTGGTATATTTGCTTTTTGCCTTTCTGCAGTTCGCATTAATTAATAGTTATGCATGTCACAATCGGAAATCGTCTGCCAAATTTACCTTGTAGATTCCTTCAACTCAGAGATAAAGGCAGAGATTTTTCCTCCAAACCCCAAAAATTAGCTATAGTTATCTTTTCGAACTAGAGCTGAAGGACCGGAAAAAGGGATTATTGTCAAAAGATATTGTTTTTACCCTGAGATTTTTATATTTTATTCTGTCGTTTTTAGGTTTTATCCCATCTCTATTTAAGTCCTGCGCTGTCTTTTAGCGAATTCTCCCGAAGCTGTATGAACTGAATGAAATCAGTGATGGCATCCCAGATATGTGGTTTTACTGTGCATCTATCTTTGGGAAATGCTATTTTGACAAATTTTTGCTTGTGATTAAATGTTGGAATTCATTTTTGGCGTTCATGCCCACACCATTAGATGCGTCAGGAGTCTCTTCCTTAATATTCATTGATAGGTGTTCTAAATCCTTCGCAGCTTATCCTTCATTGATGCCTCTTCGACCTCGCTGTGGAATGCATGGATAATAGCGCCAATTGCTGAATCTTGTCCATTTTCTGCTTTAATATTTTGTAGATTTATTTAAGAATCCCACTTTTAACACAGAATGAAACTTTCTTCACTGAAATTCGTCCCGAAATACAAAAGAGTTGCACTCAAGAATACTGTGCAAGGTGAAGCCGGCGATAGTCCGAGTTATTTTTTTGTTTGAGTGTCAACATTCGTTTTGTTATTTTATTTTTCGGCATATTTATTGTTCATCTGCAAATTATTTGGAGTGGCAGCGCCTTCCTATCCAAATGTTGTTAGTGTTTTTATGAGTATAATATAAACGGCTTCCTATATAAAATAAAGTGTTACTTTAACAGGCCCATTCTCGCTATTACCGGTAAAGTAAATTTTGTTACTTTTCTTTAACACCCGTAATTGAATTTGGTTCGCTTTGGAGTTCGCTAGAAACTCGGTACAATGTTTGAAAAAACTTTGGCAGCACTGCTTTTTTCGTCCATGTCAAATTACATTTGCCAGTTGATATAGTGAATAGAAAAATATTCACTTCAAAATGGAAGACGGTGCACAAAAAAATTAAAAAGTTTTATTAATTTTTTTTATTAAATCATAAATATTTGAACCTTATTATGGAAAATATGCCTGTATAAAAAAACTGAATGAAAATGTTATCTTAACAATTAAAGGGCTATTTTTTAGTCTCGAAAACTTATTAAAATACGGTTTTTTATTTTTTCTCAAACTTACAACACAAAATCAAACAGCAGATATTTATGTTACCTCCTATTTCGCTGGAAACAAAATTTACATGGCAACAATGAGCTCAGAATACGAAAAAATAACAAAAATTACTGAAAGGTAAATTTTAATACCTAGGTAAATTTTGTAACCTCGACAGAATAGGCCTGTAAATGGTGATAACTTTTAACCAAAAAACTTGCGCGAGATAAAATTTGAAATTTTTGCTATTGTAGACCTTCCTGACCATTTCATAAACATAAATCGCAATCTCTATACTAAAGTTTTCCCCTTTATTTCCATGTTCTCGGCAATGAGTTCACTTTGTTACCGCTCTCTCATATACCCCACCGTTTGCCCGTACTCATTCCTGGAGATTTCTTATAATATTTCTCGAAACAGAACATTCGATACTCGCGTTTTAGAACTTACTGGAGTTATTGATTTCTGTTTTTATATTGTCATTCATATATGACATTATCGTCACAGTATATTCGTAATCAAAATCTCCGAGTACCGCAAACAATCAAGAACATGTCGGAGACCTGATTGTGCAGCAGTGTTCAAAGTAGATCCACTGCATAAATTCGCAGTTTGCGTTTTTTTATAAATGTACGTATTTTTACAAAATACTGCCGTAGGAAAATGTTTGCTACTATTTATTTTGTATTTATTGTAAACATCAACATATTTATGCTATTCGTCTCTCTACTGCGATCCTTATACACGTATCTGCATGAGCAAGCAACAAGTAAAGAGCAGATTAGAGGAAAAAGCAGTTTCTATGGAAAAAATCTAACTTTCTCAAATCACTCAATGTAACGTCGTGGCCTTACATGGTGGCGAGTTTTTATTTACATGGTGCTCTGATAGGATTGATTGTGAGAATTGTCATGAAAAGTATTCTTACGTTAAGGAGTGTTTCTGGTTTACTTTGAAGTCGGTAAGCTAATGCGTGCGTAAGCGGCTAATGTAGTTACACCTTATTACTTAGAATAGTAAACACATATCTCCCAACAATCGATTTATCGTTTGCAAGACCAATTTTCCCATAATGTTTATTTACTTAGTTAAACACTTGTGCGAATCCTTCTAATATTTTGACATTCAGGCCTTAAGGCCTTCCCATTTGCGTTACCAAAAGGTTTAAATATTGTTATGTTAGTTTTTTCTTTAATTAAATAAATTATATTAAAGAAAGTGGAAATCTAGTGCTACTTTGCTCTTATTTCTCAAAAAAAAGGGCTTACATATATAACAGCCAAAGTGGTTTTGTAAATAAACAAAGAGTTTGGTTGCTTTTCAATAAAGGTTCATGATTTCCTTATGGTGTCGAGGACATAGTGCTGGCTTATCATCGCAGGATATGGACGGTGTTCTTGCTTTATCAGCTACTAATATAATCTAAATCAATATATATTAATGAAACGATTGTGCTCGGTAAGGTTAAAAAATATTTTCTTTTGCAAGTTATGACCCACTTTGTTTCCAATTTTTAATATGATGTTCATAAATTTCGGTGCGTTGAAATATTTAAGGTTGATGTTCTTCTTCTATTCATTTCAATTCATTCCATAAAATTGCCATGTTCTTAAAGCCAATTCCACCAAAACTATAACTTATCTAACACCAATATCCCTCCGATAAGAATGTATCGAAACAGAAATTTCCTTGTTTCGCGTTATTCTTTTTACATAACCAAATAAAGCCCAAATTTATACGTAATTTAGTTAAAATTCTTTACTTTATATTTTCAATTAAACGTAGCAATATGTTAATATAAGCACCACACATGGTTTGCGCTCAGTTTAGTTGAGTTTGGAATACAGTTACTTTTCATGAATATGCTTTTTTTTTGTGTATTTTTTATTTTATTCTAATCAAGCAAATCGGAAGCCTCGATCTGGCCGTCCAAATATATTATCAGTATAAGAAGAACGCAGAATAATAAGTATGGTGAAAATTTACACGCGAATAACGTCAACCAATATATTAGAAAACGTTATTAACACGATTCAAAAAACAATTGTGCCGAAACTGCTAGAAATATTTTGCGTTGGATATCACGGTTCGAAAAAAGCATATCAGGGGTGTTATAGAAACTGACACAGAATTGCTTATTTATCGGAATGGAAAATCATTATCTGTTTGAAATGGTGTTATGAAACAGAATGGATTTTGCTTTTTTTGGAGATAAGCAAAACCAATATTCGAATCAGCTGCCATTACACTTTTGCAAAAAACCCAGCAATTAAATTTGAATTTTGTGTTGGTATTAACACATTTGTGATAAATAAAAATAAGACGACTTCGGCAAAATAATAAGCTCAAAATTGTAAGGAATAAGGGCAATCCGCTGGAGCTACCAGACTTGATGTAAGTGCAATTAGCATTCTTCTTTCACATTATCAGCAAATGTGTTTGTATGTAGATTCACAGACCAATGTCGTCTTAACAAAGTTAGATGTGCTCCAACAGGCAGTCGCACTACGATTTTTGACAAAAGGCTAATATTAATGGTCTGTGGGACTAAAATATCTTCTTAGCGCGGCCTACAATCTCTGTGCTTATAACAGAAATTCTAAAGGCTTTTGAACGTTTGAAGTGCCCACCCTGGATAATTTTAGGAATGAACGACAATGCAAAACAAAGAGCTCGTGAACATTTTTACATCAAGTACCGTATTTCAGGCATTTCTTGTTGTAAAATCCATTGTTCATGACATACATTTTTATTAAATTTCCATTTGCAAAGAAATTTGCACACCATTATGTCAACGAATAACTGATCGGTTTTATTCTGACATTTAAAACGATAAATCGGTTTCTGTAACACCTAAAGTCGACACAGATTCTGTTTCGAAAAGAAAACTGCACTCCCTAAATATTCAAAAAATAAAAAAAATAGAAAAAATTAAAGACAGAAGATGGACTTCGATGCCGACGTTCCTGGGTATCAAATTTAAAGAATGAAAACAAACGTAAGAACTCGGACAATGAGGAAACTGAAATAGCACGCCCAAAATGAAAACTAACACTTGAGGTACGGGATAAAATACTATACGACAAGTTCCACAAAGGACCCTTTGTTGCATATATTGCCACCAAAATTATAGGAAATGACCGAAAAACAATCAACGCAATAGCCATCGCGGGATAGTTAAAAAAATGCAATTTCAATAACATTAAAGAAATTAGCAAGGTAAGCCTCGGTCGTACAAAAATAATATGTAACAACGCAGAAGAAGCAAACAAAAATGCTAACAGAAAAGAACTGGAGGCTACGACCCCAAAATATTGCAACACCTTATCGCCAAAGTGGGTATCTCCACCGAAATATCCACGGTCGAACTGAAAAGAGAAATAATATCAACAATACCAATACATAAAGTCATAAGGGTAGAAAGAAGGGACAAGGATGACAAGGAAAACAAATTTTCGACCAGACTAGTAAAAATCTTATTAAAAGGACAACAAATCCCAGAGTATGTCATCTACGCACATACGAAAATACAAGTACCACTTTGCACAACATTGCAAAGAACAAACTACCAAATGCAAAAAATGTTTTCAAACGCATATCGAAGCGGAACCCTGCCAAAAATGCAAATGCGAACATGCTTCAACGACCAAGGATTGCCCGGAAAGAGTAAAGGCATACATCATTGAAAGAACGATGACCTTGGAAAATAGCACACATAGAAAAGCCCAAAAGAAAATTACAAACATATTAGGACACCGATTCGAGCTGCTTGACAGCTACTAGAGCCAATTCCCTCATTTACCCCAGACCAAAATTAATTGCAAAAACCAGAACGAATGCACAAAATACTACCATACATGTTACGCGAAACAACAATAATGGCAGGCGAAGAGAAGAAATAAATGCAGCCAACACCATGAAAGTGGAAAGAGGCCATAAAACCAGTCAACACAAGGGATATAAAAATTGGATCCCAAAAGATCAAGGAAACACAAGATACATTCAACAATTTCTGTAAAGCGATTTTTTCACATCTAGCAACAAATATCGATGAGAGATTAAACCACAACACAACAGAGCTAGTTAATGACAAACGAGTCGCACTCAACAAACTAAACAACACATTTGACAGCATATTCATAAATAACACCCCAAATGGCGGAAGCGATAAAAAATACTACAATTTAATATACAGAGTCTTACAAAACAAGGAAACAAAGAACTGCTAGAAATCTATCTACACCACCATAGCCTTTTTATCAAGCTAACCAATAACATATATGCTAGTTTAAGCAACTACAACTACGCATTTTCCATTAGACAAGACGGCTTCGGGGGAGTAGGAATATATATAAAAAATATAAAGTTCTCAATTTTTAAAATTCAGAGTGGCATCGAAAACATTAGAAACATTAACACAATTAGTATTTACTCTCCACCCACCACACAAACACAGATATTTAAAACAGAAATAGATAAAATATTCTTATAAACCAGAAAACTGAACAACATAACCCTTTTCGGAGGCGAGCTAAACGCCAAAGCAACATCGTGAGATAAACAATCAACTAACGCTAGAGCCATTTTCCTGGAAAATATTGTGCAAGACAATGAATTCAACCGTCTCAACAACGGCTCTCCTACCTTCACAACAAATAAACTGCTGGAAAACCACAAACAAGTTAACAAATAGCAATTACAACCCAATAATCACCACACTATTCGACAAATTCATACCGAAACAAAACCCAAAAATATCAAAATGAATCAAATACTCAAAGACGTCAGCAGCATTAATATAGGAAACAGCTTAAATGAATTCAACAACAAAATTAAACATAAACAGAAAAACAATCCAAATCAAAGACTCAAATAAAACGCTGGTGGACAGACGAAACTAACAAATTATTCAGACTAATAGCCTATTTCCACCAAGCACTTAAATGCATTTAAGGCCTCTGTTAAGTAAATGAAATGTCAAACGTTTCCACCGAAAGTGAGTTAACTCAAACAGCTGATTTTTGTTTACATTTGCAGTTTACAAAATTTGCCACAACTATAGAAATCATGAATTCAAGAGACCGCATTCATTTTATTTGGCTATTTCTGCAATCTTAAGACTTGCAAGTGCAGATTATTTCTGCACGGACAAACGTTGCTGAAACGAATATGCTTTTATGCATGTTTCCATTTTCATATTTGTTTGTTTGTTCCCTCAAATTATTTATTTTGCGCAATCAGCTGATAGCTACCAGAGCCACGTATATTTTTATGTTGAGGGGATCGTTTGATATTTCACAATTGTTTTTTGTTTGTTTCTTATAGTTTTTTTTTGAAGGCGGAGAAGCATTATCTTCGCCAATTACTTAATATAGGCATTTATGTTAAAACTAATGCAAAAAAGGAATTTTTATACAAAAAATTTCACCATGCAAAATAAAAGTCTCGCCCCTCATTAAATCCGAAAATACACGACTCTGGCAAGAAGTACACCGAAACTTCCGAAATGATTACATTATTAGTGACAGCATCGAATGTTAACATAACATTTTCTGTTAAATTGCCGAAAGTGAGTTAACTCACTTTGAAAAGTGAAACTTTTATACAATAACAAACACATGGGAACTACCGCATTTAAATGCGATGTTTAAATACATTTAAGCTAAAATGCATTTAACGTCCGGTGGAAATAGGCTATAAGAAACGCTAAAGGAAAAAATTTAATCAATATAAAACACCACAAAACAGTGAAAAAACTTGTGGAAACATATTAAAAATCAAAAAAAAAAAATAAAAAATTTCAACGAAGTAGTCAACGAGCTCTCACAAAAAAGGTTATGACATTACAAACATCCTAAACTATAGACCGATCTGCTTACTCTCAACTTTACACAAAACAAAAGAAGGACTACTAACAATCACATTGACAACCAATTACAACAACACAGCTTTTTGCCAAATAGATCGTACGAGTTTCGGGAAAACCATTCAAACGCACAGTGTATGAATGACAATCAATACGGTTGCCCTCCACAAAGAGGAATAACTCCAAGTAATGGCAGCCTGTATTGATGTAGCATCAGCATACGAGTCAGTTGACGTCAATACGCTGGAAAAAATACTTGTGATGAACCCAATCAACAAGAAAGTAACAAACTGGATAATAAACTTCCTCAAAAGACGATTCCTAACACTCAATAGTAACAAAATACTAAACAACAACGGCCTAGCTCAAGGTAGTGGCCTCAGCCCCACTCTCTTAAACATATATACGAAACGAATCCACACAATAACCAACCCAAACTGTAAATTATTCCAATTTGCTGACGACTTTTTCCTAGTATGTTACCACAAATCACAACAACAAGCTGATAAAATATCAGCTGCAACTGCAACAAAAAATTGAACAATTCATCAACGAATGCCACAGCCTCAAATTGAAAACAAACCCAAACAAAACCAAAACAATATATTTCAATAATAAAAATTCACAAATCCACCTCTGAATATACAACATCCAACTAGAACAAGTCTCAAATATCAAATACCTTGGCAGACACATAAGTAAACTCGTATACAATCCTTACGCAAATCACATAAATCAATTTGTAGAAAAGACCAACAAAATATGAGGCTTCTGAACATCCTAAGCGGATGCAAACTTCAACTATACAAAGCATTTGCGCGGGCAAAAATGGAATATGCCGCATCGTCCTTTTCGAACCTACCACAATCAGCACTACAAAAACTGAATACATGCTGCAACGCCAATTTCAGACGATGCCTAGTATTAATTCGTTCAACGCCAGTTCATGTCATCTACCATATGGCCGCCGAGCTACCACCCAAATTCAGATTACAGATGGCAACAGCAAAAAAAATGTATAGCATATAACCTCCTAGCCAAACATATGATAATAACTAACAAATTCAACAAACGAACAAGTTATTATACTGTCTACAACAAATATAAAATAATACTTTTCAACATTGCCTCAATCAAAAACAAACCAAGCTATTCAAACAAAATACGTATCGAAGACAACTTCTTCAAAAACATTAAAAAAAATAAAAAGGTGCCTGGTTGGCCACTCATACATAGCATCTACAAAGAAAAAATCACCCATCTGGAATCCAAACACTTTGAGATAATATTTACGGATGGATCAGTAAAAGACAACAAAACGAGAGCAAGATTCATACATGAAAAATCTAACTTATGCAAATCCTTTTACTCTAACAAAAATTTTGCCTCAAAGACAGCCGAACTTATAGCCATTGAAAAAGCCATAGATTTCGCCATAGAAAAACAATTCAACAAAATAGCAATACTAACGGACAGCCTGAGTGGTATCCTAACACTAAAATATCGACAACAATAACTACATTGCCAGAAACGTTATAGAAACCATCAACTCATCATCAATCTTAAAAGTAGAACTATACCACATACCAGCACACAGCAAAATCAAACCTAACGAAAAAGCAGATACGGCAGCCAAAAATGCCACTCAATCCGGAGAGCCAATAAGAATATTATGGGCAGTCAAAGACTAAACGAAATTTCGAAGAAAATACAAAAATATTGGGAACAAGAATACAAATCCAAAACTGTGAACAAAGGAAAAATATACGGACGAATATTTCCGGAGCCAACTAACAACCCTTGGTTCCACAAAAACAGTTCTGGATTAAAACAGAAATAAAACAAGTAAACAGAATCATTGCAAACCACATAAAGGATGAACATAACCACTGACAACATTTGCGAAAACTGCAACATACCTAAAAACACAGACCACATAATTTTCCAATGCCCGAAGTATACAAACACTAGAAGCAAATACCCACCTTAAACAAACCACGTATCATTAATCGACTTTCATCGAAACAATACGCACAACACATACAACACTATCACTAACTTCTTGAAATACCTACAACTAAATCTATAAGCCTATTCTGTCGAGGTAACAAAATTTACCTAGGTATTAAAATTTACCATTCAGTAAATTTAGTACCATTTCGTATTCTGAGCTCACTGTTACCCTGTACATTTTGTTACCAGGGAAAAAGAAGGTAACAAAAATATCCGCTCTTTAATTTTGTGTTGTTAGTTTCAGAAAAACTAAAATCCAAGATGGGTAGGCATATTTTAGGCCTGGAATTCATTGAAGATGAAGAAAACAGTGCAAAATGTTGTATTTTAAGAAGTTTTCGAGACTAAAAAAAGCCCATTAATTTGTAAGATCGTTATCTTACATTCATTTTCATTCAGCTTTTTTCGTTGTCCAGGCATATTTTCCATAATTAGGTTCAAATATTTATGATTTAATAAAAAAATTAATAAAACTTTTTAATTTTTTTGTGCACCGTCTTCCATTTCGATGTGAATATTTTTCTTTTTACTTTATCAACTGGCAAATGTATTTGACATGGACGAAAAAAGCAGTGCTGCCAAATTTTTTTCAAACATTGTAGCCAGTTCGCCAGAATACCAATTTCTATTTGGGTGTTAAAGAAAAGTAACAAAATTTACTTTACCGGTAACAGTGAGAATAGGCCTGTAACTAACAATTATAATTTGCGATGGCGATATAGCTAATAAGCTGGCCAAATAATTCTTCCAACCTTGAAAACTCTTTTCAAGCAATGAAGTAACGCTAAACCAATAAAAAAATAAAATAAAATAAATGCCGTACTTTATGTAAATCAGTAACCCCTGTAACAGAATTTTGTCGATATCAATTCTGATTCCGACAACAATATGTTTCTGTACACCCTGTATATTTCACTTTTAAACAAACGAAAGCGAATTGAATTTGCGCATGATTGTGTAAATAAACCTCGGGAATTCTTAAAACAAGAAATTTTTTCGGTTGAATGTAAATTTTCTAATTTCGGTATATAAAAACAAAACTTGTTGATATTGTCGGTGGTGTCGAAACTATGATATGGCGTTGCTTGGCGGCTGATGGTGTTAGTCAGTTTGAATTTATTACATCGACAGTGGACAGATTGGGGTATTTGAATATTTTTAAATAGAATATGGCGCACATTGCGGATAATCTTTTATTATCTTCGACATTTTTTCGAAACTACGTTTGTTTCTGTGTTCTTGCTACTACTTGCACCCCACTAAAATATCAGAGTTACCACTTCTCTTTGTAAATGTCTTACCTGGTTGTTTAACGGTTGATTAAACGAATGAATTGTGTAATATTAAAAGTCATAGCACTCTGGGTAATCTAAACCTAAAAATTGTCATTTTTAAGAAATTCGTAAAATATTTTCGCATTTAAAATTTGAAAGTGAAATTGTAAATTACATTTAGTGAAAAGTTACCAGTCTTAAAAAAACAGTTCACGTTTACAGAAATGCCTAAAAAAAGTGAAACTAGTTTCGATGATATATTTTCAATTCAAGTTCCAAGTGAAGAAGGTAATAGCTTATTTCCATCAAGCACTTCAATGCATTTAAAGCCTCTGTTAAGTGAATGAAATGTCAAATGGTCAAACGTTTCCACCGAAAGTAAGTTAACTCAAAGAGCTGATTTTTGTTTACATTTGCAGTTTGGAAAATTTATCACAAGTATTGAAATCATGAATTCAAGAGACCGCATTCATTTTATTTTGCTATTTATGCAATCTTATGATTTGCAAGTTGCACAGCCACGCATATATTTATGTTTAGGGGATCGCTATCTTTTTGAAATAGGAGGAGATAGACAAAATATTAGTAGTGACAGCAACGACTGTTAACATAACTTTTTCTGCTAAAATACAGAAAGTGAGTTAACTCTCTTTGAAAAGTGAGTTAGCCCACTTTTTTACAACAACAAACATGGGAATGTACGCTTTTAAACGCGTTGTTTAAATGGATTTAAGCTAAAATGCATTTAACGTCCGGTGGAAATGGGTCTCATGTTGAGATTGTCAATTTGGTGGATTTCAATTGTTAACAATTTTTTTTTTGTGACTTGAGTCCTCACCTTATTTTATAGGTTTTCAATAGGATTTGAGTCAAAACTTTAGTCAATCTAAAACATCGATTTTTTCCACACTCAACCTATTGATATCTGTTGTTGTTGTAACCACAAAAATATTCCCCAAAGTACTTTTTGGAGAACGTTGCGGGGGTGACAGTCCTTGGCCGGATAAAAATCCGGGTCGTTCCGGTATAAAGACCCGACTGTCGCAGGAGCTATTGGATTTTAGTCGTCTCTTACGACAATCATGCCTTACCGCGGGCAAATTCCTTGACCCCTAACCCACAGGGGGCTTGCGGGAATGACAGTCCTTGGTGGGCTAAAAATCCGGGTCATTCCGGTATAAAGACCCGACTCTCGCGGGAGCTATCTATCTATCTATATCTTGCCCGTAGAAGATGAAGTTGTCACATCTTATAATTGCTTGTTCTTCCTTCCATTTCAAAATATTACACAAAAATATGCGTTATAAACGTTCTCCAAGAAATATTCAAAACTTTTGAAATTTCTGCCACTTTCAACCCTTCTTCATTAATTATCTATGGGATTGTCTTTCTTTATGCTCTCTTTTGAAAGTTACGAGGGCAATGCTTACGCAAAGTAATTTGTGCTATTTATGTGTCCACTGAAAAATCTTTAGCACTTAGCAAGAATCTAAATTTGGGTTTTTATATGTCCATAGCTGTAACAATACAACATAAAAAAATGCATGAGATATAGGTTTTGGCATTTCGAACGTTCGTTTACAAAAACAATATACATTCATATTCTTGCTACTACCGTGTGTGAATTTGCCTTGGTTTGAAATTTTAAATTTCCATTTTGTTTGTCAAAATTCCTTTAGTATTTCAATGAGTTTTATACTTTATTTTTTATTCAAAATTCTAAAAAAAAAGCTCTAAGCAGTGAGCAATGAACGAGTGTGGGAGTAGTCGTTGCTCAAATGGTCGAGCAGCGAGTGTTTGAACAAAATTAAATTAATTATAAACTTTCTTCAAGTAATATTCAAAACTTTTGAAATTTCGACCAATTTCATCCCTTCTACATTAATTTTCATTGTTATTGTCTCTCTTCACGCTCTTCTATTGTAAGTTACGAAGGTAATGCATTTGGAATGTAATTTGTGATATTTATGTGTCCACTAGAAAATCTTTAGCACTGAGCAAGAATCTAATTTTCTGTTTTTAATATGTCCATAGGTGTAACACATATTGCACTTGCCTCAGTTAAAAAAAAAAATTCATTTGGTCTTTAAAAAGTTCTGGAAATAGAATATAACATTAAGATCCCGATACAAATGCGAAGAATTTTAAGATTTAGTCTTTAAATATGTCAGTACATATCTACATAGTATGTAATCATTATTTACTCGGTAATTTTTATTTTGTTATAATTTAAATTTTGATTTGTTGTACTAATTCTTTCAGATTTTTGCTCATAATGAAAAAAGGAAACTGCGATGATACAAATGAACTACCTATAAGCGTAATTTCGAGTGTAATGAACTGCATAACCTCAGCCAACAACTTTCATTGGCTATCTGGGAGTAATGGAAATTTTTCTACAACAGGAGAAATTGCGAGCAGTAAAGAAACAATCATACCAGAAGTTCTGTCCTTGGCTCCTCCGCTAATGGACTTTGAAGATGAACTTATTTGGTTTACTAATGTAGGAAAGTGCAATGAGGTTATATATTACGATAATTCCAATTGTATTGATGCGTACTCTAAACACCTTTTAACTTTGGCCTTCAGCCAACCTTTGGCACCCCAGGAACAGAAAACTCTGTTGGAAGAGGTCTCGAAGCATAAAAACATCGTTTATCATATTGGTCTAACTCCTTCAAAGGTATATTGTCTCCATTAAGTTATTTATTTTTTATAGTTGTTTACAATATAAGCCTAAAAATACACCTTTAAACGACAATGTAGACGCTATTCAACTGCCTTCTTAAAACTAATTAAGTTTTCATTATTTTGGTGTCCCAGTCATAATCGGCTGTGCATCAAAAGCCGAATGAACATTATTCCCTATACCAAATTTTGGAAGGGTTTTATCTCGTTTTTAACAGGTTTAGATGTACATAGGTTAGTACATATGTATATCGAAAAGAAAGCTCATGATATTAAATATGTATACTTTCTAAATTAACCTGGGAATGATTGGAATTATTGACTGATTTGGGACTGAAAGGAAATTAATGTATGTAAACTTTTTTTTTGTAGATATTTTATTAGTTTTAAAAAGTGAAATTAGTGAAAAAAAAAATTCTCTTATCACGAATTTTTTATACAAATATTTTCCAACTACGTTTTTCTCATTAACTTTTTCTTTGAAAGAAAAGTGGTTATTTCGATTTGATTTGTCTCCCAATCAGAAGTGAGACTTATACATACTACTTGGCGTTTACGAAAAGTTTGCTCGATTATATAAATTGTTTATAAACCCTTCGAAACGAGCACATGCACTTCAACGGGAATTAGTTATATAGTACGAATGTCTCTTCCTCAACATTTTTTGAACTATGTTCAACTTGTTCCCTTCCATTATGGTTGGCATCGTGGTCGGCATACTTTTGCGTTGGTGTAAAGTCGGAGTTGACATTACATCTTGTCGACTGAAAAACAACGACCACGTCGATGACGCCAACCATAATGGAAGGGAACAAGTTGAACATAGTTCAAAAAATGTTGTTGTAGTTTATTTCTTATAATAAATATCATTTGCTGTTTCTGCATTAGGTCTTTCATTGTATTCACATTTTCTATGCAAAATTTTCAATTCTAGGAGATCTGAACTTATTATATTTTCACGTAAAAATGTTCTTCTGAAATTAGTTGTATGTTAAAGTGAATCGACCATAGCTTATTTCAGTGCACAAAGAGTTACTTGCATTGCCTTAATCTTTGTTTACTTTTTCACTTTAACATAAGCTGTGTTCGTTGAGAAATGTCAGTAAAAGTTTACTGAGTTTTCACCAGCAAGTTCTACGACAGCTGTTTATGTTGGCGGTTAAATTTGAATCCGTTCATTTATCTAGTTTTTTCTGCTTTTAAGTATTTTCCTAAGAATTTTAATAAAATTTGCAATTATATGGCTTTCTTTATAAATTAGTTGTATTCAAAATTTATTATATTTCGGCAATAATGAAATTCCACATGCTTTATAGCCGCCCAACGATAGAGATACTGATATGATTTTTCTTCCTCTAAAAGGTCGAAGATTTTTGTTGAACTTGATTTGCAACAATTTTCAGAAAGGCTTACTGAAATTCGAAAATAAGTTTCAAATTCTTTCAAGCAAGAGCTTTATTTTCCCTTTTAAACGCAACTAATTATTCATTTTGTGCAAAGAAGAAACTATAATAATGTTCAGTTCATATTGCCGGTTTACACGGTAAAAGACTTCTAATGTAAACTATAAATAAATAAAATAAATTAAAAAATTCATATATTTGCCAATTTTATTAAAATGCTTAGGGAAATATCTAAAAGCAGAAATAATGAACTGTATACATGACTGTTTTTAAATTTAACCACCAAAAGAAACAGCTGTAATACATCTTGCTGGCTAATTTTTACCGAATCCTGTTTTGTGAAACTTTAGTAAATTTTTTCTTTGGGAGAGTAAACATGTTACTCTCTCATTTTTATTATTGGCTAATTTCCTAATGTTAAGCTCCTCATAAGCCGTTCAGAGGCGGCTTGGTAAAAAAAATAAATAAAAATGGGTTTAGGTAAACATACGACAGGTGAGAAAGTCGAATCATATGAAAAATACTTGAAGAAGGGCAGAAGTGGCAGAAATTTCCAAAGGTTTGAATATTTCTTAAAAGAAAGTCTATGAAGTAATGAATTCACCTGTGTAAAACCCCCTCTTATTGGTCTCGAAAGACAGTTGTGCGCTCAGTTCCTGCTATTATGAGATTATTAAAAAAACTATCAATTCTAGTCATCGTGACCGATATCACCTGATATAAAGCAATCACAGGCTCCCTCGAAGGCAAACTTCGTTTGACTTTCGCTGGTGTACGGTACACTTTCTTATCATGTCATAGGTCCTCTCGTACGAATCAACGACAATATGGACAAGTTTCAGTGATGTATTTTTTTTTTAATTTTCAAATAAACCACTTTTTTATTTTTCGGAATGCACATATATTTGAGAATATTTTCCGAAAATCTGAAGTTGATCTAACAAGCAGTCTCGGAGATATGATCGTATTATACGTTTGTGGCGTTCAAAGATAGGCGAAGCGCAAGGCGGAGTGGCTTAAGCTGTCTCGTCACCGCTATTCCTTTGTATAGGGTGTATATAAGTAAGTCTCGGCAGTTGAGAGTGATCTTTCACTCAGTCAAGTTGTGTTTTTCCTCAGTGTTTGAAGTTTTCTTTATCCGAATGTCTTCTAAAGTTAGTAGAATAACTCGAAAAAGTACAAAATAGCAGTTGTCCCTACCGAAGAAACGTAGAACATTTTTAATCCAAAAACTGCAAGATGTGAGGAGAGCAGTTTTCGGACTATTTGTTATGAGAACTTCTTTTGATATTATTATCAAGAATATTCACGACTGTGTGGTAGTGGTCGGTGGAAAACTTTTAAAAAAAAAGCTTATATTGAAAAAAATGCGACACAGGAAAACCATAGTGATGATGAAAATAAAAAGAGAAAGTTCAGTTCTTGGTATGGTGTGATATCAAGGAAAATGGAAGTCGATGCAGTAATTGCCAACGTTCAATAAAAGGTTTGGAGTTAGTTTCACGAACTACATTGGCAATGTTGGCTCCAAAACTTACTTAGGAATTTTAAAGGCTGTTCCTGAAGGTGACAGTGAAGTTATGAAAAAAGAATGCGTAGGTCATTTACAGAAGAGAATATGTACACGAGTAAGAGAGTGTGAATAAAATTACAAGAAAGTAAAACAGACTGGAAAAGTTATTGACAAATTAACTGTTTATTATGGTTTCAATTGAAAATATGTATAACGCCATTTGGGATTCTAACTATCATTATCGTTCCTCTGCCAGCGATCCTCAAAGTTTTACTATTACTGCACTCATAGCCTATCAATCCATTATAATACTACATTTTTTTGGTTTTCGGGTTTCATATAATTTGAAGCAAAAATATCTTCCCCACCGCCAGACAAACTTTTTTGGAGGCTCTTCTGGAGATCTGCTCCAGGATCAAGTGGATCCAATATTCGAAAAAAAAATTATTAATTGTAAAACTACATTAAAATCTATCTATTAACATTTTCTATTAACGAATATTATAGAATAAAAAGCTTCTAAAACAACAAGCGGATATAACCCCTCAAAGCGGACAGCGGCCCCAAGCACTCGTCCAAATTAGATATTAATTAGTAATAGGAATAGATCGAAGTTATATATTGACCAGTCTAAAGTTCTGTCTTAAATCCTATGAAATGTAGTCAAGACTGAAATCACAAAGAAAAATGTGGACGATAATACACTTAAATTCAAGCTTGTAAAACTAGTGGAAACTATTTGTCGTAGGTATTAAGCATTCATTAAAAATAAAGGCTTCATCACAAAATGCTAAATGAAAATGTGTGTAGAGCAAAAAATTTGATAAAACACATTTTCACGTAAATTTCCTTCTTTTTCCGGGTTGTGCCATTTAAGTGTCCAGCTTATTTCACTACGTGTTCACATTTCCTTTATTTCTGTTGTGATATTAAATAATTCCAGCAAAGCTTATGTTATTATTTAATATGAAGAAAAAAACCTTAGAAACACACCAAAAACTTGCTGTTTAATGATATGATATCATAGGAAAGTAGACTTAAACAAATGTGCCATTTATATGTCAATATATATAATATATTATCCATATAATTAGTTGTACGTTATTTGTATATTGTTATAATCCCAAACTGTTGTTGTTGTTGTTGTTGTAGCGGTTCGCTACCCCGTTTAGGGACACGTTTATCAATCGAAGTCGCCGAGTTCACCTAATGGAAGGTTCAGGAAACGTGCTGCTAGATGTGTCGGCCTAAGGGAGCATGTGAATAGGTGGTTAGTGTCGTACGGAGACTCTACAGGGCGTACGTTGGGTATGCTGAGATCGACTCTGGATAGGTAGGAGTTTAACCTCCTGCAGTATCCAGACCTAAGTTGTGCCAAAGTGACGCGGGTCTCTCGGGGTAGCTCGAGCTCGTTGTCTGCGACGGGTGGTGGTTTTTCTCCGAAACATATATATATCATTGAATCAAACGAACTGTAATATTGGTGGTCCAACCAATGAATTGCGGATATAAATATAAAGGAACGGTTGCTATATATTTACTTAAGCCGTTTGGCTACTCGGTTATACCCAGTAGGTAATTATATCATTTAGGCTTTTGGCCTAAACATAGGTATTGTTTTCCAAAAAACATAAAAAAAACAGAAAAGGAAAGAAGTAAACGAACACAATATAATGTTGTGCAGTAGTGCTTTAATAATAGTAAAAGTTTCGTTTAATTATGTCTGAGAATAAGAGGCAGTTTCAGCAAAGAGTATGCAAGTGGTAGCCTTCTGGTGGAATGTGTTGACAAATACCCCCAATAGATTTCGGACAACACTGACACAGAAGCAAGTTGTCTTTTGTTATCTTTATATGCTGAGTGCTATCCCCAGGTCACCCAAGCTGTATTAGTGATTAACTGTCAACTAATTTACTATTTTTAACATTTTGCTACTAAATTGTTTTAATTTCTACGTACGATCACCAGTGTTGCCAGAACTATAGAGAGCCAAAGAAAAGAAGAAACCAAAAACATAAAAAAAAGAGTTAAATGCACATACGAAAAAATTCAGTTGGTTCTTTGTTTCTAAGTAGAAACTTCATATATCTGCCATAGCTTATAAGAAGAACCCTTTAAAATATTTACATAATGTATAATATATTTCAGAATTTTCTCCATTGATGTGATGTAAAAGGGTTTTGTAGATTCGCACTGACTTTTAGTGTTTGATAGCTTCTATTTAGATTCATATTAAGAAGCATAGATGAAAATAGTGATTTATGACATTAGGAATAGGTATTGAAAAATTAAAAATAAAAGCTTATATAAAATTGATAAAAATAATAGAGCATAATGGTATGGAAATTAGAAAGACAATCCAAAACGATTGAAGCATATTTTCATTACGAAAAATATTGTCGCATTTTCAACGTGCACAGAAGATTGTATATTTATATATATTTGTAACCACTGAAGGGATTATCGGCCGAGCTACTTCTCCAATTTGTGGTCTGCATCTTGATGTTTTTCAACAAAGGGAGGAATCTACAGGTTATTCTAAGACGCCTCCCAAGCGGTAATGATTTTTTACGAGGGGCGACCACAGTAAGAAAAACTAGCTTAATTTTTTTTTTTAATTTAAGCAGCTATATTTATCTGAAGAAAACCTAAAATGGCAACACTCGTGACCACCCCGAACTAGCTTCTGAGCTCTGTAGAGCTGAGAAGCTAAGTCATTGCTGGATGAAAAAAATTAAAGATAACTTACTGACTTACCGATAATTTTAACGATTTCTCTATTCTCTAAGCACAGTATAACGTTTTACGGATCGCAAATAAGACTTAGCGATAATTCTAACGATTTTAATATTCGGTGTACTTATTTGACGATATTCGCTCTCGCTGTTGTAAACTACTCGAAAAATCGCTAACTCAGCGACGAATATTTTTAAGTTTTTAGCGATATCGAAAAAATATTGTTATTTCATTTAAGAGATTTAAATGTCCGGGAAATTGCCTAAGTTATACAAAAATAAAAATGAAAAATAAAATAGATGGCTTTTGAATATTTGGCATACGATTTATCACAAGATGAAGAGGTATCGTACCTTTCATCATTGGATAGAAGTTTGCTACAGATTTTCGGGAGCTATATAGATTAACGCCGGATTTAGTTGAAGAAATCGTTTCTCAAATACATTGTCAACTAAAAAAAGAATAACAGCATTATCTACGGAGAAACAGGTAATACTATATTTTTCAATATTTTTTTTAGGTTTAACACTATTAAAGTGATTAAAGGTTCTAACCGCCTTGCAATTTTTCGCAACTGGATGCTATCAACGTCCCGTCGGAGATCAATGAGGGATATCCATGAGCCAGTCGTCAGTAAGCCGTTGTATTCATCGCGTAACAGACGCAATCAACCGTTCGATATTTGCTGCGAAGGTTAGATTTCCCATTACCTCGCCATTTGCTGGAGGAACTATTTGGGCTATCGATTACGAAGAAGCCTATGTCGACCTTCATGAAGACCATTCTACCAACGACCAAATGGTGAGAGTAATTTTTTTTCAATAACTGTTGAAGTAACAAAGTTCATTATTCCTTTCGCAAGATTTTAGCGGCTAGTGCCAAGTACCAAGAGTTTTTGATTTGATAAACTTTGTAGTGCATTGCTATTCATTCAATAAAAATAATTTCTATAACAAATTAATTTTTTTTTTTGCCATTCCTCTTTGTGTTTTTCGAATATTTTGACGTTTTGCTAAGCTGTGGTGCCACCTTTCCTTCATGTTATTCAATGGAAATGTCCGTTGTCGATTATCGTAAAAACTGAGTTAGAGAAACTCATAATCGTTAGCGCAAGCGACAGAACTTTGCTATCCGACAAATGGTGTCGATAAAAGTTACAGAATTGCGCTGCTGTAGGGACTTATATAATTTGATTTTGCTGAGAGTAATTATTTGATTTGAGTTTTACTCAAGTAATACTTCAGTAATAATTATTATTTAGTTTTTCTCAAACTCAGATAACCGATTTTGAATCATTAGCACTTTATAAAGTCATTTATAAATACTTCTGAATCCTTGTTACTTATATTTAAATTGATGGCAACATTCCAAATATAAGCTTAACCTTAAATATGTAACTTTTAAAGGCGTTATAATATTTCAATATATATATAAATCTTATATCCTATTTCCACCAGACGTTAAATGCACTTTTAGCTTAAATGCATTTAAACATCGCATTTAAATGCGTGAATCCCCAGTGTTTGTTGTTGTATAAAAGTGTGTTAACTCACTTTCGGTAATTTAGCAGAAAATGTTATGGTAACAGTCGTTCCACTACTAATGTAATCATTTCGGAAGTTTTGGTATATTTCTTGCCAGAGTCGTGTATTTTCGGATTTAATGAGGGGCGAAACTTTTATTATGCATAGTGAAATTTTTTCTGCAAAAATTATTTCTTTGCACATTTTTGTTTCAGCCACGTTTGTCCGTGCCCTTGCAAATCAAAAGATTGCTTAAATAGCCCAGTAAAATGAATGCGGTCTCTTGGATTCATGATATCAATAGTTATGGCAAACTTCAAATGTAAACAAAAATTAGATATTTGAGTTAAATCACATTCGGTGAAAACGTTTGACATTTCATTTACTTAACAGAGGCCTTAAATGCATTTAAGTGCTTGGTGGAAATAGGCTATTAACTTATTATTAATACAGACTTGCTGATTAACCTATTATTATGCATATATTTACAGTTACCGCAGTTAGTTGAGAATAATCCACTGATATCAATAGAAATATTGCTAAGACTCATGAAAACTGTAGAAATAACGGAATATTTTAATGTTTTGGTACAAATGGATATAACGTTACATTCGATGGAAGTAGTGAACAGGTTAGTACTCAATGTAATTTTTCTTTAAAAATGATGGTTTGCAATACTTTTTTTTAGATGAATCTAAGACTATACGTTTTACTAATAAACTGTGAACTGTAGTTATAACATTAATTTAAAGTTTGAAATTCTTACACTATTACTGAAAACTATGTTCTGATTCCTGCTGATCTCGACAGTTTGGCGTTGTCTCAACGCAAGATCTGAAATAGAAAGTACTTAAAATGTAAGACTTTATGTTGACCAAAAAACTGAGGCTTAAGTTGAGGGGCTTTGTTAAATGGTTTAAATATGAGCAATTCCCATAAAATTACTTAAAGTAAACTAAGCGGTTTCAGATAAGAAAAGTTAAAAAAAAAATTCAAGCAAATTGAACCATAAATAATATTATTAATAACCAGTTTCTGCATGTGAATCTATACGATAAGCTACCAATAAATTCGAATCGTAACTAAGATTATCTCACATGAGACGGCCACCGAAATTCTGGTAATAGAGTTGAATTTTATTTCGGTACAGCCGTTATCAATTCAACGAATGATGCCATCTGTCGACTTCCGAAAATTTTTATATACTAATCCAAACAACTCCTTCGAATAGATCGGTCCTAGGTACTATTCCTGAAAACAAAAGTAGTTCCTGCTAAACTAAGCAAAAGGCTACCTATGTATCAAATTTGAAGTAAATCGATCCATAAATTCAAATTTCTCGGATATATCAGGTCTTCTTCCTGGTGTGAAAAATATATTTTCATAAAATTTCATTAAAATCGGCCAAGCCGTTTCGGAGGAATACGTGTCTAACACTGTGCCACGAGAGTTTGTATATTAGATTAATATATTACGTTTTGTTTTAGAATTGTTTAAAGTTTGTGTTATTTAAAGCAAAAACTTCGATGGTATCAACCGTGTGTAATGACGAAATTACTTGGAACATATTGTTCAATATTATCAAATGTTTGTCATTAAAATACATCTCTAATTATTTTTAAACATGTCGAAATTGATATAGTGTTTTTCAACTGCACTAAATGCTTAAATCAGTATTAACCTTTTCAAGTTTCATTTGCACATAATTACAATATATTAGAATCCAAAAGTCCTCACACGCAGAGACGTACACAATCGTGATCTGGCTGCTCTCCAATTCGCTTGATTCCACTTTTGCTAACAAAATTGAGAATTAGAAAACCAAATGGCAAATGGTAGCCGAAAACTTAAAAAGTGAACTGCCAAGGAGATCAGATACATACAAATATATTATTGGTTATTTGTAACCGCTGAAGCGATTTTAGACCGACTTCCTCTTCCAATGGAGTGACCTAAAGTTGATACTAAGCCGCCTGGTTTTTACAAGAAATACATTCGGAGGGGGGGACATTCCCTGCCGAGGGGTGACCGCAATTGGGAAATTTAGTTTAGTTTTTTATTTAAATTAATTTTCTGCAAGTTTTTGGATGTTAGTACGACACCAGGATTTGAACCTGAGCCTTCCGGATGGTAGTACGCAATGGCAACTACTCGGCTATCGCGGCCGCGGGGTTATTTCAGTTAAAGCATATGTTCAAAAGTCAGAAAATATATTTTTGTCATACCTATGCATTTACCTTTACTGAAATAATATTTTTTACTACATTTGTTTTCAGGCTCACCACCTCAGTGGACTTACCTACGGAGTTTATTCATTTGTACATTAGCAATTGCATTTCTACATGCGAAACGGTTAAGGACAAATATATGCAGTCCCGGCTAGTTCGTTTAGTTTGTGTTTTTCTGCAGTCACTAATCAGAAATAAAATAATTAATGTCAAGGTAAGTTTCCAAAAATGATTTAAATGCTGAGGCTACAACAATACTGATAATATAAACATTGCCACATTTAATGCTTTCATAGGAGATTATGGTGTACATAATCGCCAAACTACTCAAGAAAATGGTGAATTGAAAATATCGTTACTGTAAGTGAAAGTGTAGCAGAGACCCGAGCGTGTCTATTTCTAGACATTCTCAAGAGCTGGGACTTTCTTACGGTACACAATTTTTTTAATGTCAGTTGGCCGCCCAGATCGTGCTACTCGACAGACCAGACAGAGTTAAAGGTTTACTCTTGAGCACTTAAAAACTGACTAAAACGAGCTCCTTCTACAATTTGCGTTTTTTTATAATGTTTTATTGAATCTTTCCTTTCGAAAATCTTAAAGCCAGTTCTTATTCCTAGAGCAAGTTCATCATTACCGCTGTATTATATAATATTTGAATTTTAAATATCAGTAACATAAAATATGAAAATTTTAAAATAGCAAGTCGATTCCTGGCGGCAGCCGAGTGGTTAGCATTGCGTACATTCGGAAGGCTCGGGTTTAAATCTCCGTGCGACCAACATCGAGAAGTTATGGAAAGAAATAAAACACTAAGTTAAATTTTCTAATTGCGGTCGCTCTCAGCAGGGAATGTCCATCCCTCTGAGTGTATTTCGGAATTGAAATAAAGCTCCTCGTAAAAGAAAACCATCAGCCGTTCGGAGGCCACTTAGTACAAACTATAGGTCCCTTCATTTGTTGGAAAAACATCAAGACGCAAAACCACAAATTGGAGGAGGAGCTCAACCGAAAATCGCTTCAGCGGGTGGTACGGCCAGGAGGTATGAAGAATGGCTAGTTGGATAAGTAATCGGGGTTAGTGCACCTGTCTCGGTATATTTTTTCCCATGGTGAGATGAGGTGGAGAAATTTAGTATGGTGTGAAAAATATTTTATTTATACAAATCAAATTGTAAATTTTGACTTGAGCAAAAAAAAAGCTCGAAAGGAAATCACATATATTTATTGCGCGCTCATTTAATGATTTGCTATTAATTCAGAAGTTTAGGCAACGTGCTACTCGTCAGGTAATACTTGTGTCCTCAAGACGCAAATTGGAGGAGGAGTAATTAGCGTCGAAATGTCGTTTGTTGTTATTATTATTAATCTTTGCTTCTCCATAGCATGTATTCAGAAACAATCAAGATTTACGTAGCTACATACAGTTCTGACGTTTGTACTCACCACGAAAATAAAAGAGGGGAACAAAACTATTCCATTTTACAAATCGGAAGTACCCTGACACAACTCAGGTCTGGATATTGTAGCAGGTTAAACTCCTACCTATCCAGACTAGACCCCAGCATACCTAACGTATGCCCGGCATGTGGAGAGTCCCCGCACGACACTAACCACCTCTTCACATGCCCCCTCAAACCTACTCATCTAACCCCCCTCTCCCTTTGGTCCAACCCCGTCGAAACAGCTCGTTTCCTGGGCCTACCATTAGATGACCTCGGCGACTTAGACTAATTAAGCCTGTGCCTAAGCGGGGTTAGCGAACCGCTACAACAATAGCAACAACAAATCGGAAGTGAACTTAAGTATAAACATCTGTATACTGAATAGAAATGTTATGCAATCATATTTGCTCATTCGATGGTTTCACTGGCAATTGAAGTATTTATTCTATGCGTTTTTTTTTTAAACTCATTAAATAACCCGCTATATCAGTAAATTTCCTCAGGGGGTTCCCACATGTGAATGGAAAGTACAATAGTATTAGCTTTATATGAAAAAATATGAAATTCCTACATACACTTTTTATCCTCATTAATAAATATTTTTATTAAAATGACTATTCTCTCTTTTATTTTTAGGAACTGCTGATTGAGATTGAAGCCTTTTGTGTAGGTTTCAGTCGCATTAAAGAAGCAGTCGGCTTATACAGGCTCTTAAAGAACTTAGAGATTGGCGAACATGGATCTAATGCAACTTCCGGAAGTTTGTCATATTCTGCAAGCAAAAATGAAAGTTTATCTCCCAAATAAATGTTAGCAAAATATAAATATATTTCGTCAATGTTTACAATTGTTTTTAAAATAGAGTCCAAAATTTTATTTTCATAAAATTTGATAGAGAATATCATAAAATTTTGAATTAATCGGTTGAAATTGCCGGACAATTATTGAGAGTTTACACACCGATAACTAACAGTAAAATTAAAATGGCAAAAATGGGGACACATTTCAGTTAATACCCCTTCCAACAAAAAGATAATTATCAGAATCAGATGCTCTGTGAAGAGCTATGCGTGGTTATCCGTTAAAATAAATGTATCAACTTCCCTATCTTCCGGTTAGGATGACAATTTTCCTTCATCCTTCTATGGAACTTTTTTTAGGCAGTATGTGGTAAGATAAGAATTTTTTTTTATCCCAGACTGTACCCTATCATATAAAAAAAAAATAATTTTAAATTTAGGTTACATTTTTTCTCGAATTCGTATAAAGTAAAATTATCAGGATCTTACTACTCTATTAAAATTTAGAAGTTAAATAATATAACTCCTTTCTCGCCCGTTAAAAAATCGAAAGACAGTGATGGACGGAAGAAAATTAGTGAAATCTTCGACAGCTGTCGTATAAAAAAGACCAAATTCCCGTCAACAAACATAAGGAAGGCTCGACTACGAAAACTGCAGTTACAGTAGACCGTCAACCAGTTTTATACTGAAGCAAATTTTCTGGTTTCTGAGAGCTGCCCTCGACATAGTTGGCAGTTTAAGTTGGCCGTTTAGGGAACCTTGATCAAACTCATTGTCCTGCTGGTCCGGCGTTGCGAGGTTTCTCTTTTCGTATATTCTTAAACCAATTAGAACGATTTATGAAACTTACGAGCTTGTTGACGATTGAAGGTTCAGCAGGACAGCCAAAATGATGGGGGAAAAATGAAGGTCCGCACTGAGAGCTAAGCAAGAGCTACTGCTTAACTGACTTATTTTCTATGCCACTGCGGCTGCGGACGCGGCAGAAATCATTAGTGAAGGTACTCATTCTCCTGCCATTGGCCCGAATTCCACGGTATCCTCTTAGCATCCAGATTGCCTTCTCAGAGAAGGAATGGGGTCATATTATCGCTTTGTACCTTTAGTTTACAATACATGACTGGTGCTTTTGTGAAGTTGATGTCTACAGCATATGCTACTACATCATTTCAAATAAAAATAAAGTTAACGATTAGTGTAGTTGATTTCAACATTAACAATTTAGTTTTCTTTCGATAATATTACGCCGAAACGAAACAAAAATGAATTCGGTTGATTTATTTTTCATGTTAACCAAGCTAAAGCATATGAAAAATAGAGCGAAACGACGCTGGTGGTAGTCATTGAAGGATTTGTAAGTATGTTGATGCAGTAACAGTGGAGCTTTCAGATGCTGTGACTATAAGAAAACAAACGAGAATATGCATAAGGAGAAGATAAACTAAAGTTCTGTAAGTTGACCAAAAAAAAAAACAAAACAAAAGATGTTTTTGTTTTATTCTTCTTCCCTTTTTTATCTTCTCTACATAATCGCCATTGATTTCAATGCATTTCTTCAGTATATATCATATGGATCCATAAGTCTTAAAAATTTTGCTTTTTAATCTTATTAAGTTCAGCATTAACCGCATTAATTGTTTTTAAAGACCTTTCCTTTTAACCTTTTAAATCATTTTTATTTTTTGGAAATAACCAGAAATCAGATCGCAATCCTCCTCGGGGATCGTCCTCTACGGAAAAATGTCCGGTCTGGAATCTTCGGAGCCACTTAGAAAAAGTCTTTAAAGATGCAATTTGCATTCACTGAATATTTGTATTGGCTGTAAATTACGTCGAAACCCGATTCGAATTAAATGGCGACTTTCTGTTTGCGTTGGTGGTGGAATTTCGTCTGACCTATCCTAAGCTATCTTACGTTTTCTCGTCTTCATTTTAGCCGATCGTTCTAAAATTTGAAAGGAAGACTAATAAAGTGATTGCAAGATATTATTTATTATTTTATTGTTAACAAAAACAAATTGAAAATCACCAGCTTACCGAACACTGTGCATACCCAGGGATTGATTTTTATAAATTTCTTCAATTCCAATATCTTTCTTTAGCTTTTCTGATTTTTCGGCGTTTATTTAAATTCCGTATGCGGAAGTAAATTCTACACTTGCAAAGAAAATGCTTTATATTCTTCGAAAGATCAACTTTCATACTTCTAGAAACCAATAAAATGCTTTCCTTCTTCTTAATTGGCGTAGGCGAATCAATACTGCGCCATTCGTCCCTTTTTTTGCGCTGTTTGGTTCGAGTTAAATGACCCACGTGAAATCAGACCGCTTTCCACCTGTTTCTTTCAACGGGGTAGAGGCCTTCCTCTCCCTCTACTTCCAGCGAAGGTTAATGCATCGAATACAAAACTGTAGCACTTTTACTCAGCCGGTGCCTCTTTATTCGCTCAACTATATCAATGTCAGCATATAGTCGTAGCTCCATCGTCTGCGAGGTTCGTCGTAGCCAACGCAAAATGGATCATAAATCTTTGCAAAACTTTTCTATCGACGGCTGAGCCGGCCATTCATCGGCTGTTGACTTCGTCCACGCTTTTGCAGCATATAGTAGGACGGGAATGATGAGTGACTTATAGGGTTTGCTTTTAGTTCGTCCAGAGAGAACTTTACATTTTAATTGCCTACTCAGTAGCAGCTGTTTGAAAAGGTTATTCTGTGTTGGCTGCCATTAATTATTGGTGTCAATGCTCGAATTGGTGTTACCCGCGAAGTTATAACTGTCAACAGTGACGTGAGAAGCGAATGCGATGACTGTTGTTTGATGACAGGAGATATTTCGTCTTGTTTTCGTTCACTACCATTTGCTCGCTACTTTGTCAAGCTTGGAGAAGGCAGAACTAATGTCGGGGTTTTATAGCCTACGATATCATTATCATCGGCATATGCCAGCAGCTGTACACTTTTGTAAAAGATTGTGCCTTGTCTACTTGGCTTTTCAGCTCTTATTTTTTCTTCACCATCAAATTGCAAAAATCATGCGATAAAGAGTCGCTCTTTCTGAAGTACCGAACGGCCCGGAGAGGTCCTCCACACTGTTGTTTAGCGCTCAACGCTCCGAATTGGGGTTAGCAGTAAGAAAGCAAACATGTATCTTGAAAAAAAATATTACTTTTAATTAATGTTAAATTATTTCGTATATGAAATAAAATTGGGGTGTCATTACAAAAAAAAAAGTTACAAACAAAAATGTAGCATACTGAATATCTAAGATATAAGGCGAGTACTCAAGCGTCAAAATACATTGTATTGATGCGGTTTCGCAGTCGTTTTTCGAGCCAATTAGTTGCTTTTCGGGGAAATTACTAAAATAGAAAACAGGTCAAAAAATATGTAATACAATGTTTAAAAAAAAGAAGTATTTACGAATTTATAATAAAATAGAGGATCACAAACCTTAACAATGCGCAGTTTGCTTTTGTTTGTGCATCAATAACTTTACCGATACATTTTGGAACATGATACATCGCCAAAGTTTGCACAGTTGCTTTTAGGAATGCGTAACAATTTATGGTTGCCTTGCAACGTTTTGGAACTCTCTCAAATTTATAGAATGTAGGGTTGCATTGGTTGCGAACCGTACGCATATTTGCTTACCAAAAGGGGTAGGGCGGATATGCATTGGTCAGCTAGTTTGAACACAATAGAAGCATCCGACTTGGTAGTATATTTCAAATGGTTACAATTTGTTCACGTCCAAGAAATGATCTCGAACAAGCTTAAAAAAGTTGCAAAGGATCAAACCAAGAGTTTTTTAAAAGCAAAAAGTTTGAATAAACGTTAGGATGTATTCGTAAAACGTAGCTGTCACATTCAAGTTCCTCCAAAGATTTCCTATGGTAGATCGCACATCGCAAACAACCGCAACTACATGAAGCGCTATGGTTTCTAAAGTCAAAATTATCGAGCCTAAATGGCGGCCGCAATAGTCGAGTGGTTAGCATTGCATACTGCCTTTCTGAAGACCAGGGTTCTATTCCTGGTTCTACCAACATCCAAAATTAAAGAAAATAAATTTTTCTAATTACGATCGGCTCTCTGGAAAACAAAATGTAGGTCCCTCCATTTGTGGGAAAACATGAAGATGCATACCACAAATTGAAGGAAGGAAGGAATTTATTTATATATAAAATTTTAATTGAAATTGTTAGCCAGCTTGAGGTCAATATAAATAAATAACATGATATTAAGGCTGTTATAGAAACCGACACGACTCGCTTATTTATCTGAATTGAAAATATCTGTTTAAAATCGTGTGGTGAAGTCAACTTGATTTGGCTTTCTTCGAAGCAAACCCGATATTCGAAACACCTGTAAACATACTTGTGCAAAAAACAAAGCAATTCAATTTAATTTTTTAATGGCTTTAACGTATTTTTGAGTTCTAATCTTCTTATATACAAAAATCTTATATCCGCAACGAAAAATCCAGTAGTTTCCAAAAACCTCCCAAAATTACGCATCGATTGAATTGAAATTTCGTCATATTGTTTCGAAAAAAACTGTAATGTCGCCGAGGAACGAGCGTTCTCCGAAAGTTACTTAGCGAATGACTTAAAATTTCGTCAGAATATTTATATAATTCCTGTGGAGGTTTTTAAAAAAATAATAATTCGGAGAGTGGGATGGGGTCTGACCTATTTAAAAAAACTCCAATGTCCGTTTGTAACGGGTGTTCTTCAAAAGTAAGCGACCGATTGACTTGAAATTTCGTCAGGTAGCTTCTAAGATACGTGTGAAGGGTTTTACGTAAAAAAATTTCAGGAAGTGGACTAGGGTTATTTAAAAATTGAATTTTGGCACATAGGAGGTCTTTTTGCTTTGATTAAAACGAATATTCTTCTTCTCCTTTCCAGGGATTAAACCGAGGATTGACCTAATAATAAAACAATTATTTATGGATCGAATTATTTGAAATTCGGAATATAAGTGTCTTGGACCAGGGATTGACCTATTCGCAAAAAGTTTATTTATGATTCGATTTACAAGAAATTTGGTGTATAGGCGGGTTCTTGCCTATTAAAAATGTCGGACTATTTCTCACTCCCGGACCAAAGTTAACGGTTAAACCAAAAAAGTTGCATTCCCATAATTATTGAGTAAATAAATAAATAAATATATCCCATGATTTATTTTCCATACATTTACAGCCCTATTCTGTGCACTTGACAAACCAAAAAAATATTGATTATATATCAAGCAGGAATTTATTTGTCATTCTGTGTCAATCTTGATGAATCATTGAACAATGAAATGTAAAAAAATTCGGCTGTATATTTTCGCATATTTATCACTATTTGTTGTTATTTAATATTAAATGCCATTTTTGGCAGCATGAGAAACCAAAATATGGTACACGATTTAGACAAATTTGCTTGCAGACTGCTAAAATACATTTTTATTTGTTGTCCTATGTGGGTAAAATTGACTGTAAAAACATGCTTTTTTATTACTTTTTTACATGACCATCATTTCTTTTATCAAACATGAAAAACTACTTACTTTACGCCGCTTACGTGATTTTGGCCGATTTAATGACACTGCACCATTCGTTTCTTCTTTTTGATTTTTGGCGCCAATTCGAAATACCAAGTACAGCCAGGTCCTTCTCTACCTGGTCTTTTCAACGGAGTAGAGGTCTTCCTCTTCCTCTGCTTCCACCGGCGGGTACTGCATAGAAAACTTTAAATGTTGGAGGGGACGAATCTATCCGGACCACATGACCTAGCCAGCGTAGCCGCTGCTCCTTGATTCGCTGAACTATATCAATATCGCCGTAAAACTGGTGCAGCTCCTCGTTCCATCTTCAGCGATATTCGCCGTTGCCAATGCGCAAAGGACCGTAAATCTTACGCAAAACCTTTCTCTCGAAAACTTTTAACGCCTACTCATCAGTCTAAAGTAGCATCTTTTGGCAAGAGTGGTTCTGCGTTTGAATTCAAGGCTGACATTATTATAGGTGTTGATGCTGGTTCCTAGATAGACGAAATTATCTACGACTTCAAAGTTATGACTGTCAACAGTGACGTGGGAGCGAAGTCGCGAATGCGATGACTGTTTGTTTGATGACAGGAGATATTTCGTCTTGTCCTCGTTCACTACCAGGCCCATTCGCCTCGCTTCTTTAGAAAGCAGAACTAACGGCACGATTGATGAGGCTGATAATGTCTATATCGTCGGCGTACGCCAGTAGTTGTACACTCTTATAGAACATTGTACCTTCTGTATTCTCTCCAGCATGAAATTGAAGAAATCACACGACAAAGAGTCACCCTGTCTAAAACCTCGTTTGGTATCGAACGGCTCGAAGAGGTCCTTCGCAATTCTGACTGCGGTTTTGGTGTTGTCTGGCGTCAGCTTACCCAGACGTAGCGGCAGCTCCTATCAAACTGTCAAAGACGGCTTTAAAATCGACGAAGAAGTGGTGTGTGTCGATCCTCATTTCATGGATGTTTTCCAAGATTTGGCGCATGGTGAATGTCTGACCCACCAGGTCTAAAGCCACACTGATAAGGTCCAATCAGTTTGTTGACGGTGGACTTTACACTTTCACCAAATACGCTCGACAGGATCTTATAGGCAATATTAAGGAGGCTTATCCCACGGTAATTGTCCCCTTTTTTATGGATTGTGCAGAGTATACCTAAATTCCAATAGTCGGGCATGCTTTCGTCCGAACATATTCTGCATAGTAGCTGATGCATGCACCTTGTTAGCTCTTCACCGCCGTGTCTGACTAGTTCAGCTCCCGCCGCTTTGTTGTTTTTTAAGTGGGCGATTGCGTCATCATCGTCATCGATTGGGGTTTCGCGTTCAACATCTCCGGATTATCCATTTTCACTATTATTCAGCAGGCTGGAGAAGTGATCCCCTCATAAATTCAATATACTCTGGACATCGGTGGCTAGATCACCTTTATGTGTCCTACAAGAGTTTTCTCCGGTCGTGAAACCTTCTGTAAGTCGTATCTTCTCGAAGAATTTTCGAGCATTACCCTTTTCGGCCAGCTTCTCAAGCTTTTTTTTCGTCATCTCTCGGTATCTATCCCATCCCGCACGTGTTGTGGTCGACCGCACGGTTGCGAGGTAGGCAGTCTGTTTTCTCTCCACTGCAACATGGCATTTCTCATCGTACCAGCTGTTTTTGAAAACCTGAAGGAACCTTTTACTTAACATGAATTTATAAAAAAAATTTCGCCACGATTGCAAAATGACAACTATCAAATTTATTGACGAAAATTAGGCAAAAGTTTTGCTGCAACTACCCATTTTACTTATCATCCGTCCGAAACAACCGACTGCAAGAGCAAGATACATAGACGAGTTCTCGAGGCTACTGCAAGCGGCAAAATGTTGCCAGCTGCCAGTGTGTTTGCACACTTTTGAACCAATTTATAATTTCCATCAATAAATTTCATAATTTATATGTTCGAATATAAACGCAAGTCGCATATATGTACATGACCTATATGGTAACAAATAATTAGTTATGTATTTACAAACAATACTGGCAACATTGTATAGCAAAGAGAAATGAGCCGACCCGGTTTTACGAAAAAAATCAAATCGCCGTTGGTTTCTGCGGGAAAACCGGCACTAACGGCATGGGCAAGCGGTGACAACTTCGTGTTTACATAGCGCTGTCATAAGATAGTGTTGCGAAAATGCGAGGCGAATGTCAGATGAAAGAGAAAAGCCGATAACTAGTACATTCTAGAAACGATAAAACAAGAACCTTCGATAGCGAACAACTCGATGCTTCTACGACACTCAGCGGCCAAGTAAGTTAGTTACAAAGTGAGCTCGTTGGCGTTAACATCAGTGTAGAGTCGTAAAGTAAACGCGTTGGGAATTACATTTCAGTAGAGTAAATTGTGAAAGTTTATGCAAGTGATTGTAGCTAGTAAAGTACATTTGAATTGTGAATTACTGAGTAAATAAAGGACATTAGATTAATTCTTAATAACGAAAGAAACTGCAAATTAAGTTGGCGAGTTTTTATTTAACAATCCAGAGATCGTACCCGAAGGATTCAGGAAATCATTGAGCGAAATCGTAACAATTGGTGTTAGAAGTGGGATTGTTAAATAAATCCCAAAGGATAATATTTGCAAACTGGGGAAGATTCAGGATTTGACGATACCTCCACTCAAACGGGAGTTGGCAAAGCGGGGATTGTCGACAACTGGAAACAAGGCAGAGCTGCAATCGAGACTGCGTGAAGCAATGGAATTTGAAGGCATCGACTTGAACCAGTACGACTTCCATCGCGAGGATGAAGAAAAGGCTCCTGGTTCATCTAAGGGTATTGACATGAACATGTTATTGACTGCGATCTCACAAAATATGTCTGAAATGAGAGCTAGCATTTCACAAAAGTTGGATGCACAGGACACAAAAATGAACGCCAGCATCGCACAAAATATGTCTGAAATGAGGGCCAGCATTTCACAAAAGTTGGATGCACAGGACACAAAAATGAACGCCAGCATCGCACAAAATATGTCTGAAATGAGGGTCAGCTTTTCACAAAAGTTGGATGCACAGGACACAAAAAGGAAAGCCAGCATCGCACAGAATATGTCTGAAATGCTGGCTTTCATTGAAAAAAGGATAATTTTTTCTTATCAATTATCTCCCTCCTTGCCATGTAGAGTTCACAGTGCTCGTTTTATTGTTCGATTTTCTTTCATACTTTAATCTCAATTTACGAAATTATTTTATCTTGGAAAAACCTGTTAGTTTTCGGAACATTTCATGAAACTTTTTAAAACCCAACCCTGGTCAGACGGATTATGTCTGCTGTGTGAGCCATAGACAACTCCACCATCACAGTTGCAAGCAACCAGTGCAATGGTTAGATACATGTTAAG